TCTTTTTCTGGTATACTAGGGGGGAAAAAAGATTATTTTAGTGATTATCTCTGTGTGATGAGATTATGGGACGTCTTTTTAATGTATTTTTAAAATTTATTACAATTAACAGTGAACCTGTATTAATAACTATGTTAACAATAATAGCTAATGTTTATTTTAAGTACTTGTCTTTCACAGCTACTATAGCTCTGAGGCCGCGGGTTTTTTTAAAAGGCTTTTGGAACTGGGGGAGGAGAATGACAGTAGGTCAAGTTAAAATGCCACAAATCCTACTATTCTCAACAAGGTAGGCACTGTGCTAAGTACTTCAATATTCCATCTAATCTTTAAAAACCCATGAGTTTAGAACTATTATAATCCTATTTTACAGAAGAAGAAACAGGCATAAAGACATTAAAATAGCTTGCTCCAGGTCTCATGGCTAGTGATACTGTTGGTTTATAAACCATAATGTTTGATATTTCAGTCTATTTTCCATTACTGTGCTATGTACTACTTTTCATTTGTGGAGGAATAATTCAGAGAAATTAAGTTTAGTTAAAAGTGTACTTAAATATGAATTCATATATAAATTTTACAAAATAAGTATTGTATATAAATTATCAGTGAGTTCCTTCACTAAGTAAGTCATTCTTAACCATGGTCTAAATCTGAATTATGTGGAACATTTTAAAAATATACCTGCAAAACTCCCTTCTCTTGCTGCACTCTCTAGGGTGGAACACAGGTGACGTCTACACTTTTACAAATTCTGCAGATTCTAACTCAATCCCAGACAAGAACCACTTCATTAGACTAAAAACTCCTTAAAACTAGTATTATATCGATAGAGTACTATTTCATCACCTAATTCCTATAACAGTTCACACAGGAAAGATGTTTCTTAGAGAAAATGGCTGAAGGAAAAAGCAGAGGTTTAAAAGTTAGAGAGCCTTAGGCTTGAATCTTAAAAGTGCAATGTGAACTGTGCCTTGAAAGAAGCTACATGTATGACCCAGAAAAAAACGCATCTCTGAACCTTAGTTTCTTCATCTATAAAATGGAGGTTTTAAAAAAAAAAAAATCGGGCCAGCTGAGTGGCTCACTGGTTATGACTTGGCTTGGGAGCACGAGCTCTGAGCAGCAGGGCCCCAGTTCGGATCCCACATGCGAGCCAGTGACGCTGCACCCTCTACAGCTAAGATGGTGAACAACAGCTCAACCTGGAGCTGGGCTTCCATGAGTCACCAGTGACGGCATAGGCTGCAGTGAGTCTGCAGTGGGCTGCCGTGAGCTACCGTGAGTTGCCAGCAGCCAGCGAGAGCGGCCGGCAGCCGGGGTGAGCTGCCATGAGCAGCCGTCCAACGGCTGGCGACTGATCTGCCTCAGCCAGGAAGAGCGCAATGATCACAATATCAACATGGGCCAGTGAAGCGACGTCCTCCACAACTAGACCGAAAGCAACTTGTCTGCTCCCCTTCCCTGATTCCCCAATCCTGTTCCCTCCCCCATTTCCCCAATTAAAAATCTTAAAAAAAAAAAATCTAACTCTTAGAGTCGTCACCAATCACAGATAACACATGCTGGAATGTAGTATGTACTCAACTGGTAGTTATTACAATTCATCCTAAAACTGACAAAACAAGTATTAGATTTAGATATTCAGCAAATATACTGAGTGCCAAGTCTGGACAAAGCATACTCTGTGAAATTACCTGAGTGATAACAGTCTTCTAAGAGCTCAAAATCTAATAAGGGAGAGGGGCATGCTCTCTAAAAAGGAAAATTGTAATAAGCATTAACATAGAGAGGTTTATTACATATATCATGGGGAAATGAAAAAAGAAATAAATCTGATGTAGAAACGGTTCTTAAACGTACAATGTGAACTGTGCCTTGAAAGAAGCATAGTCAGATATGCTCCTTGGACCTTATTCCAGACCAATGGTTCACAAACTTTAACATGCATCAAAATCACATGAAGGGCTTGTAAAAACACACATTGTTGGGCTCTATCCCAGATTTTTCAATTCATGAAATCTGGAGTGTGGCCTGAGAATCTGCATTTCCCAAGTGACAATGATGCTAATGGTCAAGGGAACCCTCTTCAAGAATCTTCACTCTAGACAGAGAAAGTGCTTGAGCAAAATTAACAAGTGATATACAGCTTGAGCTGTATAATATAGCAGCATCCGGGACATGGGCTTTGTGTAAGTAGTTAAGGAATACGGTCAGAAGTCTAGAAATAAAAACTTTCTCAAAAGAACACTTCATTCTCTGGCCCGGTCAGGTGGATCAGCTGGTGAGAGCGTGTGCTCTTAACAAGACTGCCAGTTCAATTCCCGCATGGGATGGTGGGTTGCGCATCCCTGCAACTAGATTGAAAGCAGCGACTGAATTTGGAGCTGAGCTGTGCCCTCACAACTAAGACTAAAGGACAACAACTTGACTTGGAGCTGAGGGGTCCTGGAAAAACACAATGTTCCCTTCCCCAATAAAAAAAATCTTTAAAAAAACAACAAAAACAAACCAACAAAAAAAACCACTTCCTTCTTTAATAAGAGGTAGATAAATTACCCTTCTCAGGAAGGTGAGCTAACATTCAAGACTAAGTTAAACTATTTAACTACCCCTCGTGATAGGACATTATCTCTAACCTGTTATCTTTCAACTCCCCTTGCTAATCCTGGCTTTGCATCACACAGGTAAGGTAATGAGGCAACAGTAGATTTGGGAGCACATAGCTAATTAAATGTACAAAGAATAGAAACAGTGTTACTCTTATTCTTTTTAAATGAGAATACAATACTAATACATCCTGAATTTTAATATTTTACTTAATATGCTATAGGTTAAAATTCCTCAAAAAAACAGAGTTCAAACCTATTCAATATTTTCACTTATAAATCTTAAGGAATCTTCCATACTCACCAAAACCATCAATATCTAGATTATTTTCAATCACAACATCTAGCAGAGAGTCACCGACTTTTCCTTTGGTTGTTAATACTTCACCATCACGGTTTAAAAAGTGGACTGTTATTTTATCTTCTGAGCTGAAAAAGGAAGCAGTCCTTTATTATTTTCAGTAACTTCAAAAGATACTTTAAAATAATTGCTCTAAGAACATAAAAGGTCAAAGAAATAGTATGATGTGTGTGTATGTGTGTGTGTGTGTGTATGTGCACACATGTACAAATATGTTCTCTTATAGTATTTTCTTTTTCCGAAGTTCATTTGGGAAGAACCCACAAAACCAAGGGTATGTCTATCTGCCCACCTACCAAGAGATGTCTACCACCTTAGAGGTAACTCAGGGATGTAAAGTACAACTTTGGGAATATAGTAAATAATATTATAATAACTATGTATAATGCCAGGTAGGTACTAGACTTATCAGGGGGATCACTGCATAAGTTATATAAATGTCTAACCCCTGTGCTGTATACCAGAAACTAATATAATATTGAATGTCAACTGTAACTGAAAAATAAACTTATAATTTAAAAAAAGAAATTATAACTACATCACTATCAAGACCATGTGTTTCCCTATGCATCATGTGTCTCCCTAATAGTCATGGTCATAGGTTTCAGTCACGTGAAAACATTCAACAATCATTATCATCCATGAAGTCTATTTTGCTCTCATACAGCTCTGAAAAACAAGTCTCTATGAATGAGTTCCTACAAGACTAGATTACATTTATGGTGAGCTTTAGAAAGCAAATCATTCTGCAATCAATAAGGCAATTGGGCAGATATCTGCTAAGTACTATTGCTGACAGGTAGCACTTTGATAGTTTTCTGAGTGTTTGAACATCTTATTTTGGTCTGCACTGTGTACTCAAAAATCAAAGGGACTAGAAATGGTTATTTGTTCATTTGTTTGAATCTGTGGGAAAATGAATACCTCCATATGCGTTTTACTATAGGATATTGTATTATCTATCAGCTAGCTGACTTAAATTTCTTTCCCTTCTCATAAACATCACACCAAAATTTGGGGAAAGAAATTATACTAGCAACTAGGTCCTTACTCTCCACCATTGGTCATTTTAATTTTTACCTCACAATAGAAAAGATGTACTTCAGCTTAAAATAATTAGTAGTAATTTCCACTACTGCCAATAGATGGTAATAGCCCATTAAACAAATTTTTGTTAATATAAGTAAACCTAGAATTAAATAATTCTAGAGCTATAAATATCTTGCAAGTTATCAAATCTAAATCTCATTTCACAAACAAGGCAACTGAAGCTCCTATCAGATAATGGCCTCCTTAATATTTCAACACTGAAAAAGAATTCCATAATTAAAAATTATCAAGTGTGTGAAAAGTCCTCAAAAAGGCCTGCGCTCTCTAACTTCTTTTCATACCAAGAAAACTTTAAAAACAAGTATTGTGAATATTTTTCATGATTTTCAAGGTAAAATGGCTGAGAATGAAGATACTCTGAAGGCAACGAGACCACTTTGTAAGTTATTAAAAGAGCATAAACTAAGCAAGGATATAGGAAATATTGACTTCCGAGATACTCAGGAGGTAGAATTAAAAGGTTTTGGTGACCATCAATATAAGGTGGATTGAGAGACAGTGAAGAAATAATGGCAAAATTTCCAGCTTAGGCGATTAGGGGGTATAGTTTAACATAGTGTTAACAGACGAGGAGAAGGAGCTTTGGGGAAGACGGAAATGAATTAGAGTTTAGACCTGTTTTAATTTAATAATAGAAAAAACAAATGAGAATGTCCAGAAGCCAGGTGGAAATATGGGTATGAACCCAGCAGAGCACTCCAGAAATTTGACATCAACAAAAACCTGATTAGATAAAGCTACAAAAATAGAAAGCCAGCCCAGTGACGCGGATCATTAAGAGTTGGCTTGGGACGCCAGCTCTGAGCAGCAGGGCCCCGGTTCGGATACCACATGCAGGCCAGTGACACTGCGCCCTCTACAGCTAAGATGGTGAACAACAGCTTGACAATGCAGCTGGGCTGCTGGCAGTTGCCAGCAAAGGTGTAGGATGCAGTCCCTGCTGCAGTGGGATGCCGTGAGCTACCATGAGTGGCTGGCATCCAGTGTGAGCAGCCAGCAGCCACAGTGAGCTGCCAAGAGCCGCCATGAGCGGCCGTCCAATGGCTGGCGACCGATCTGCCTCACCTGGGAAGAGCGCAATGATAAAACCAACATGGGCCAGTGAAGCGACATCCTCCACAACTAGACTGAGGAACAAAAGGACAGCAACTTGTCTGTTCCCCTCCCCCAATTCCCCAACTGTTTGTTCCCCTCCCTCAGTTCCCCTATAAAATATTTAATATAAAATAAAGTCAGAACTACAGCTTGTAGACTGCTCTGTCCAATCAACCTTTGTGCATTCTATACCTGCGATGTCTGATACAATAGCTACTGGCTACTGAGTCCTTGAAATATAGCCAGTTAAACTGATTCTTTAATTTTATTTGAAAACTTAAATAATCATGTGGTTAGAGGTGTCATATTACACAGCATAAATTTCAGATAATAAGAGCTGAAAAATCTAGTTGTAGCTCCAAAGACTAATAAGAAGCACAAGGCCATCAATAGAAACTGTGCCAATGAGGAGGAAAGCAGGATTATAAGAGAATAAAACAAATGTGCTTCCCTTTAAGACAACTTGATAACGCCCAAATCTAAACAATAAGTTTGGGGAAGATAATTCCCATTTACAAAGGCAATTATTTATGTTTCTTTAAATACTAGTTACACAAGTATGTTCAATACATGTCCCAATTTATACACAATTTTTCAAGAAAGCATCTGTTGTAGAAAACAAGGCATCCACGTAGGGATGTCAAAAGCAAGGAAGTGTAGGGAAAATAGGGACAAATAAATCTGGCTTGCCTTCTCCATTATTCCCTTCACAGTTAATGCAACAAATTTATTGAGCATTCACTATATAATAAGATTAAGAGGAAAAGATGAGTAAGTCTACACCCTGTTTTCAGGGACCTCACCAAGAAGTAGAGAAGGCAGAATACAAATCCAACAGTTTCTCTCTCCAGTTCTTGCTTCCTACTACATGCCAGCATGGGGTCAAAACGCAGTTCAGAGATCTGCATTATATAGGGCTCCATCATGTTGCTATACTGTGAAATGATGAGTACATTTTACCTCTATTATATCTAAGGAGGGTTGTCTTTGAAAAACAAGTATGCAGAAAAATACAAAACTTCAGTGTATTTGGGGGGAAATTCTTTCATATCCCTTTCAACATTTAATACAAAACAACACCGTGAGCCGAAGAAGCTGCGGCTGCTAACAGGTGACAGCTACCGAGCCCTGCTATCTTCCAGGCACTAGTCTACCTGTACTACCTGTGTGCTCTCATTTATTCTTCCAATAATCCTGTGAGGCCTCTACTATTGTTTTCCTCCATTTACAAATGGAGAAACCCGGGTTTATTATAGAGATTGAGGAAGTGAGAGAAGTTAGTTAAGTGCCAAAGCCCAGTATAAAACCCTGCCTTGCCACTCCAACCCTGGGCTTTTAACTCTTTCATCAACTATTAGACAGCACACAGGGAAGCATGGGGCATAGAGTGGGTGTATTCTAAAAGGACATATTCCCCTGACAAAGAACTGGAAACAATGGCCTAAACATAGCTGGAGAAAGGCCCTGTAAAAAACCGCTGGCGGGGACCTCAAAGGGGTGCATTTTATGAAGGTCACCGCAGGTTCCAGGCAGAGCAAAGGTTAGCTGCAAGCCAAACCACGGGGGAAACCAGTGGCAGCAACGCGCCGGCTTTCATGAGGGCACAAGATGTCCTCGGAAAGTGAGATCGGGGGTCCCGAGTCCCCGTTGCGCGCCAGGCGTCGGTGATTCGGAAAGGAAACTGAGGCTCGACAGTAAGGAGACAGCGACAAGACAGGGCTGCGAGGAGCGCAGCGGAGAAGCGAGGCGGGCGGTTCTGGCCCAACATGCAGGCGTCCGAGAAAAGCCAGCGGAGCGACAAACCAGGCCCAGGGATGGCAGCCGACCCCGGGCGGGGGATGGCCCCCTGGATGTGGGACCCCTACCACACGGGCGCCGGCCCGCGCCTCACCCGCTCCGCGCCGGTGCTGACACACTCAGCGTCCGGATCGCCGCCGCGCCGCCGGCCAGGCCCGGCTCAGCGCTCCCGCCCGGGCCCCGGGTTCCCGAGAGGCCGCGGGCTCTCGCGCAGGCTCCGGCGAGAAACAGCCACCGACGGGCCGCGCCGCCGAGGGCCACAGAGGAGGCGCTTAGCAGCCGGGCGCCCCCTGCGGCGGCCATAGCCCGTAGTCTGGTAACTACCGGATGCGACGCAGGCCGCTCAGCAGCGGCCGCGAGAGGCTCCCGAGTGCGGGCGGACCGCTGCGGCGCCTAACGCCCGCGGGCCGCGGCAAGGGTCACGGCGGACTGAGGTCCGGAGACTTCCTGCTCCGTGCGGCGCGCCGAGGGCTCCGTCCGTTTTCCCAGTGGCCTATAAATCCCTTAGCGCTGCAAGCGCAGCCCCTCCCCTGTCAGTTCCCACGCCTCCCGGGCGGGGTTTCTTAAGGGAGGAGCTAAACGTTTTCTTTTGTCACCTACTGACCAGGTTTTGTTAAACTTAGTTCTTTGCGTTTAGAGTTGTCTCGAAGGAATAATATATCTTAAAAGCTAGCTGAACGTCTAACGGAAAGATACAGTAAAACAACTCCCAGTTACCAAAGCTATTTTCTTCTGTTCGCCCTTCCTTCTTCCTCCTCCTCATCAAAAAAAAAAGGGGGGGGGGGAGAAGGCAAATAAATATCTCTTGAGTACTGAGATTTTAAAAAGACTTTTACAAAAACCAGGAAGGTGAATTTTAAAATGCACTTTATCATGGTTAATATGTTGTGGTGGAAAGAGCATGGCTTTGAGGTTAGAAATTAGCAATCTTCAAATCCAAGGTCTACCACTTTTGAGCTTTGAGACCTTGGTTCAGTTATTTTCTTAGAGGATCAGAGTTTCCATAACACTTTCACGGATAAGATGTTCTATCTCTCAGGGCCATTCTGAGGGTTAGACAAACTAACACGCATAAAGCACAACAGGCATAGTGCGTCACAAACAGTGATCGATTACTTCCTGGGCCTGCCTTCCTAAGGTTACTCTTAAGGCGGCTAAAGGCCAAAGGCAAGTAGATATTGCACATATGCTAAACACAAGAAAAGATACTTTAAAGAATATTCAGAACAAGAAAGTATAGACCTGAGTAAAGTCTCTCCAGACAATGGTGGACACGGAACCTGATGGCAGAGAGATGGCAGTCATTGGGCTCCTAAATTGCCTCATCTGATGATAAAAAGACGTTCACGTTGGAAAGGACAAAACAAATCCTGGCAAGTAATCCGGAAGAAGAGGTTGTAAAAAAAACAGTTAATTTTTTATATATAGCATCAAATCTCCAAAATCAGATGAATTCATTGTAGGAAGAGACTGGAAAAAAAAAAAGATGTTCCCTCTACTCTCAGACCTCCTATAGCAATCCAGCTTCAATTCGATTGTGGCACTTACAGCTTTCTGCCTTGTATGGTAGTTTGTATACATAGTTCATCTTAGTAGTCCCCACACTACCATGTACAGGGCCTTGAGCATATCAAGGGTTCAATAAGTATTTGTGAATAAATTACTGTAACTTCCATTAGTAATCATCAGAATTCATGAAACATGCATGAAAATTAAAGATGTTAAAAATGGTCTCCAGATTTTCAAAGGAAGGTAAGGGTTGATTCCAAAATTTACAGATATCAATATTCAGCAGAATGCCAGAAAGGATTTATAAACAAACGGTTCATGAACACAAAAAAGCAATATGGAATTATTGAGGACCAGCTTTTGCTTATATATTTCTCTGTCTTATAAAACTCTCACCCCTTCATTTTTCACTCCTGTCAAAAATCCATCCATATTTCGAAACTCCTCAAATTCTATCTTTCCCATGGTTGTGCCTATTTATCCAAACAAATCATTCCTTCCTCTGACACATGCCTAAGACCTTCGTATATTCTTGTAAAATTTGTAGTAGCTGTTGTTTCAAATGGGATAATGTTCATGAAAGTGTTTTGTAAACTATAAAATGTCATAAAAATTCAAATTCAATGTTTATTGAGCACATGCTCTGAGCTTCTCAGTACCATGTGCTCCATCACACATACTTTGTGTAGTTCCTCTAGACTGAAGCTCCTGAGAGTAGGGATGCTAACTATTCACTTGCATATTCCTAGTATCTGGCATAGTGCCTGGCACAAAGCAGCCATTTAATAATATCTTTGTTAAGAACTGTCTTAAGAACGTTCACGATTTTTATTTTATTATATCACAACAACTCTGGAAAGTAGATATGCCTATAATCAATAAATGCTTTTAATCAATAAGTATTTATTGCCATAACAGTGTATAATTCACTATGCTAGTGCTGGAGACACAGCAGTGAACAAAAAAAAAAATCTGTGCCCACTTATTTCTAGATGAGGAAACTGAGGTGCACAGTAGTTATAACTTTCTTAGAATCATGCTGCTAGTAAGCTGCACGTCCAAATTTTAAATCAAGGTCTTCCTGCTCTCAAGTACAAGGCATAAGCACAAGAAATGATCATTTTATTATTTTTATTATACAGACGATCTCTGATTTACAATCATTCGATTTAACAATTTTTCCACTTTATGATGGTGGGAAAGTAATATACATTCAATAGAAGCCAACTAGGCTAAACTTTGATATTCAGTTGGTTAAGTGCATTTCCAATTTATGATATTTTCAACTTACAATGGTTTATCAAGATGTAACCTCATGGAGGCCAGCTGAGTGGCTCATTGGTTGAGTTGGCTTGGGAGCGTGAGCTCTGAGCAGCAGGGCTGTTGGTTTGGATCCCTCATGGGCCAGTGACTCTGCGCCCTCTACAGCTAAGATGATGAACAACAGCTTGACCTGGAGCTGGGCTTCCGTGAGACGCTGGCGACAGCATAGGCTGCAGTGGGGCTGCAGGGGGCTGCTGTAAGCTACCGTGAGTAGCCGGCAGCCAGCGTGAGCGGCCGGCAGCCAGCGTGAGTGGCCAGCAGCCGGCATGAGCCACCATGAGCAGTGGTCCAATGGCCAGCGCCCTGTCTGCCTCAGCCGGGAAGAGTGCAATGATCACAATACCAACATGAACCAGTGAAGTGGCATCCTCCACAACTAGACTGAAGAACAAAAGGACAGCAACTTGTCTGTTCCCTTTCCCTGATTCCCTAACGCTGTTCCCTCCCCCAATTCCCCAATAAAATCTTTAAAAAATAATAATAATAAAGATGTAATGTCATCGTAAGGTGAGGAGCATCTGTATTTCATTATATATTTACATATATTATTCATATAATTTTATTATATATTATGTTATTATTGTATATTTATATGACACATATTTTTCAACTCTATTCAATGGTAGATGCTTACGACTCCACATGATCCATATAAAGGCATACCTCAGAGATATTTTGGTTCGGTTCCAGATCACCATAATAAAATGAGTATCACAAAAAGTGGATCATAATCTTTTTGTTGGTAGTTTTTGCCTTCAGTTTGTAAAAAACACAACACCTGTGAAGCGCAATATAGTGAAGTGCAATAAAATGAGGTATGCCTATAATTTAGGGATAAGGTCAGAAATTATCTATCTAAATTTTTAAAAAGGATTATGAAATTAGACCTTAGTATATTTCACCCCAAGAAATAACTCACTCCACCCCTGGCTAATCTGTTAATATGGCTGATGATCTTGGTGAGTTTCCTAAATGTAAATTAAAGACATAACATATTTAAATAAATTGCTATCTTTATCTTAATTGATCTTTCTGCCTGCAGTCTTATCTCATTCTAAGGCATGCCTACTTCCAGTAGGCTGATCCTACAAGGTGTGATCAGAACATACAGTGAATGCTTAAATGTAAAAAAAAATTATTACAGTAAAAGACACATTGCCATTAATCCCCTCAAAATACTAGCCCTCACTTCAAACACACTTATCCCATCATTCTTGCCACTTTCTGAAGTAGTTCTGGAAGTCCTCTTTCATGAGTGTCTTTAGCTACGCTGTTATGACGGCCTCGATGCCCTGAATCATTTTGAATTTGGGGAAGAGCCAGAAGTTGCACAGTGCCAGGTCTGGTAAATAAGGTGGATGAGGACACACTGTAATGTTCTTATTTGACAGAAATTGTGGTACCACAAGCAATGCATGACGTGGAGCCTTTCCGTTGTGATCACAAAATATGGTGAATGCTGCTGCCAAGTGCCATCCAACGGAAAGGCAGGGATCTTCAATACAGGAAGCAGCAAGTCAAATGTTAGTAACAGTATATGACAAGTTTCAACGTGTTTGATGAAGTCAGCCGGGTGTCAGCTATTGAAGCAGGATTTTTGTGTGTACGCTGTGATCATGGTCTCACAGCACCGAAGAATGGAGACATAGACCAGAGAGGCAAAGTTGCAGAAAAGGACAGTTTATTAAAGCAAAGAGATACAGCTCTCTATGTGAGAGGGGGGACCCAGAAAATTGGAATGCCCGTGCTGGGGCAGGAGGCTTTTGTTTATATGTTTTTTTAGCCTATCTGGGAAGAAGACTGGTGTCTATTAGTACAGATTTATGTAGCCTGAGGGGGCTTTTCTCTAAACAGCCTAGTTATCTCAGAGCTCAATTGGTGTTTTAGGTCTGGCAGGTGTATTATCTTCAGGCTGGGCTCTCAAGGCCGAGCCTGAGGCTTGTCCCAGAGCATAACTGATGATTCTGCTGTGGCAGGAGAGTGTTATCTTAAAGCTGGGATTTTAAGTCTGAGGCTTTAAAGATATTTTTATCTTCTGCTCATTCTACCAGGGAATCCTAACTGTCTAATTATTATACTAACTAACCTGTCTTACTATGGTTGAGAGAAAGTGTGTTTTAAAGTGTGCCATAAATCATCCTCCATCATGACAATGCTCCATGTCACACATCACTTCTGGTATACAGCAATTTCTGTCAAATAAAAACATTACCGGGGTGGCAGGTTAGTTCAGTTGGTTAGAGTGCAGTTCTCATAGCACCAAGGTTGCCGGTTCGATCCTCACATGGGCCACTGAGCTGCGCCCTCCACAACTGGATTGAAACAACTATTCGATTTGGAGCTGATGGGTCCTAGGGAAGAAAAAAAACAACAACACTGTTCCCCAATAAAAAAACAAACAAACAAACAAAACATTACAGTGTGTCCTCATCCACCTTAATCACTGGATCTGACACCGTGTGACTTCTGGTTCTTCCCCAAAGTCA